CAGTGTTCCCCATTTCCCTTCTGCTTATTTCCCTTGCTCTCACATTTTTTATGATTTTTTACTCTTGGATCTTTACCACTGGAGTCTGTTGCCTCACAGACTGAAGACAAACTGAAAGGAATGTGTTTCAGCTATTCATGAAAAGGATTTTCATATATTAAACTATTAAGTGAACACATACTTCTAAAGAAAAAGAGAGCGCTATCCTATCATAATTCAGGAGAAAAGGTCTGTAGTCTTAAATGTAGCCTTTAATACTTTATGCATATACGCTTTCATTTAAAGAACAACTATAGAAAAATTACAGATGTTCTTTGAGGAGCACAAAGCATGTCTCTGTGTGAAAGGGTGGATAACAGAACTAAAAAAAATCCCCATCTTCCTCCAGAATGGCTTTACAACTAAATTTACAAATTTACAACCAGTACTAAGAAAAATTTCTAACAAGGTTTCTTAAAATTAACTACCAGAGGAGGTAACCATTTAATCTTTTTCTCTACACTGGAATATCTGTCTCAGACCACAAGTATTACAAGAATTAAATAAAACGGCAATGTCTTTCTTGTGCATATTATTTCTATGAATTGAAGACCTGCTGCCAAATTAATTTCTGGTCTTGAGATGATGAGATACATGCATATGCCTACATGAAAAGCATACGGGGTAGCACTTAAAAAACCCAACCAACAATTAAATTCCTTTCTGCTGTCGACTCGCAGACCAAATATTTTTTCAGAAAATCTGTTAATGAGTGGTCTTCTCATTCACCAAGTCTTCCTCTAGAAAAACAATCCTTCACAACATCATGTATTTCTTTTGTAATGCAGAATGCTGCAATCAAAAAGAGCATCTCTCATGGTATTATAAACCATAAGATGCTACCATTGACATATAAAACTATCTACAGGCACATCACACAAAACTTTCCCTCATCAGTAATAGTCATAAATTGCTCTTTACTCTTCAGGCAAACTCCACATTGTAAACAAAATTGTATTTTGTCATGAATGTCATTAACTGGAAGTAAAGAAATGTTAAGTTTGCTGTTATTCTTTTCCTCTGACATGCAATTGCTTTAATTTCCAACCAGAAGATGTTCTTCAAAACCAGTGCTGCCTGATATGCTCACCAGTCCCTATGTACATGAAATTATTTGGCTTGGAAGACCTCTCCTTTAGGCACAACATACAAATACAGTGAATGAGGAGCAAGGCTGAAATCTGCCAATGCATTTTTGCAGGTTTGAAAAGCTCCTTGCTTACAGGATGAATGATTCTGATGAGAAGTCTACAGAAAGTTGAAACAGTGACACTTTCTCAGAAATATGCTGTAATTCCTGTATGTACTGCCTTCATCAGTTCCTGCAATATTTTAAAACCAGCAGGTACCGAAAACAAAGTGCCACTGCTTTTAATTGGTGTAGAGAAATGGCAGGGAACATTTAGACATTTTCTCACGTTTTCCTCCTCTGAAAGCTTCTCTTATTGAAGCATTGGTCCTGAAGATCCTGTGATAGAAGACATTTCCACCTTTTAGAAAAGTTTTCAGGAGGAAACCTGTGTTGGTATCTTCATATGATTACCTGTTGAGCGCTCTCACCTTGGGAACCTAAGCACCTATGACAAAAATCTAGGGAAGGTAAGTTTCATCAAACTCCAGACTGATACAGATGCTGAAGAACTGCAGTGGTGATTGGTTCCACTCAATTCTTCCTAACCTTAGTAAGGTGCATGAGGGTAGTCAAGGTACATGCTATCACTTCTGCCATAAATACTTCTAATTCATATGCCTATAAGCATGCCAGGCTACTTAATTTTGGTAAGCAGGATGCACTACTACGATTATACCCAACACTGATCATATAAGCTCATTCACAGAAATAGGCACACATATGTACAGGCAATATTCTAGATACATAATATGATGTATGATCTCACAGTACTTATATACACAGTGAAATCACACTCACGTGCAAGGATAAATATATTCTAAATACTCCAGAATGGAAACGTTATAAACACATATTAAAATTTTCTGAGTATTGCAATATGGACAAATAAATTCTCACATATATGTATGTAAGATACAGGTGATTTTTGAAATTACTAATACTTTTAGAAACATGCATTTCATTAATCTTCTAAAGATACTTTTCAACCAGCAGGTATATTAAGGCTTACAGAGTTCTTCCTCTTCCATAAACTCAGATACAGTCTCTGCTTATAATGGTGTTATACCTAAGATGTAATTACATGAATTAACAAAATCAATACATCTGTTTTCGTCATAAATTGCTTTGAGCTGTAAAAGAGATTAATTTATCACCTTTTCTACAATATATGGAAATGCTGTCAAAGATTTCTTATTTATTTGTCATAGTAATTATTGCTCTCTGTCTGATAAAGTACCCTCCTTTGCCACTTAAGCAAGCAGTTTACTTTGTAAGGACTACCAGAAAACACGAATATTCCAACTCCTGCGAATACATTTCAGCATCCTGCCGAGTTAAATCATACATTAAAAATGGAGCTATTCTTCTTGCATATTTCATCAAATTAAACCCCTTAATATTTCATGTTTAGTTAGGGGAGAGATAGTTGTGAGGCAAAATAACTCTAAACTACTGTGCATGGAAGAAGATTCTGTCCTCTCTAGAAGTAACATTCCAGTAACCTCACTTGCTTTCTCCTTTATTTCCTCCTCTCTTACTTTTCTACTCTAATCTGCTTGGAGAGCCTTTCAGAAGTTAAGACTCCTCCTGTATTTACTGCAAGGTTCCCGAGTCTCCCGGTTTGCCAGCTGCTATTCAAAATATATACAAGAGAATACTTTTCCACATTTGATATAGACTTCTCCATTATACTTGCTGCTAGCGTGTCGTCAGTAGTGCCTTATTTCAGATGAGTAACACCTATTGTATTACAGCTTGAGACGTTCAATCATTTAAGTTGTGAGAGGTGGGCTGACTTCAATCTCAACCTAAAAAACACCATTACTTGAACAAGACAAGACAGCTACAAGAAACAAGTAAAGGAGGTGATTTTCTTCTGAACACTTTAAATAGCTCTGACTTAGAACAATACAATCCTCCCTCCACACTTACATGCTGGCACAACTGAGATCAATGAGTAACCCGTCCTTTGCTGTTCCCTAGGATATCAAGCATTTAAACACCAGCTGAGTAAGAAAGAGCTGAAAAATCAGAACAGGCCTCCTTAGCAGGTGGGGAGAAAAACACCGTCCTATGACTACTGATCTTGCCTAATACAGCAAGTTCCTAAAAATAAAATTATTTCTTATTTCCCAGCATTCCATTTTTCTTTGTTCACTGAACTCAGTTCACACGATGAAGCCAGAAATACCAGCTTCCTTTTCTCAGTCTTCAATGTTAGCAAAATGTCAGTGGGTTTGGTTTCTTCTATTAAAGGAGAAAGATTAGGGTTTTCATCATTTTTGTTTTTATAGTTTTGGTGCAGTTCTCTGAACATCATGAAAATATTACACAACACTAATAAGTTTTGAAAACCTTCTTTCTAATACCGAAGTCTAAACATTGGATCTACCCTAATAAACTATGCTCCTCTTAATAATTCAAGATAGAGTCATCCATGAATCTCAGAGAAGAGAAATACATTTTGATCATGGCTGAGTGATAGCTTTGACGGATGCAGATACAGGCAGCCACTGTGTTTGCTTACAGTGGGTTTGATGCTAACTGAGGATGAAAAAATCTTCACAACTTTACACATTGCGAAGTCATGTACAGATCAGATGATTATGCAACAACTTGCCTTTACTACATTTTAAACTACTCTTGACTCCCTTCGCACAGCTAAAAATGAGTATATGAAACAGCACAACAGGTTAAGTAACCATAATGAGCAAGCAATATGCCAGACTGATTGACTACCAATCCAAATGAATAAAGAACCAGCTACACAGACCATGCTACCAGATCTAAGCCAAATTCCCACCTAGTACCCATCTTTTCTCCACTGAAGAACAAGACTGACACAAATTGTTGAAGTACCTTCCATGAGTGGACTCAGCTAAAGTGAGTTTTGTTATAATGCACACTGCATTGGAAGTAAAATTCAGTACTTATTGTTGTCACTCCCCAAAAATCAAAGAGCTTTTAATATTTTTGAGTACCAATGATGTCATAGTGTCCCCTTCTTAAGACAGATAATATTGAAAAAAAAAGGATGTGTTTTTGACCTCAAAAGCCAAAGAACACAAATTCATATTTATTTTTTGTTATGAAAATATAACTCAGTGTTCACAGTAGTCCTGCACCTGTCTTCAGGTAACAAAACAGAGATATGTTGAATTACACAAGTTTTTGGCATCAAACAAACCCTAGTGAAGTCAACTTAAGCTGAAGGTAAACTGTACTTGTAAAAATAACTAAAGTTCTATTTTAGATGCCTAAATATGGATGTAATAATTTTACTTTAGACACCTTTTTTCCTTTCTGTGATACATTAGAATTGAGTGGACAATAAAATGTTCCAGCAGCTTAAATATATTCATCAATTAATAAATTGATTATTAATCAATTAATATTAAAAAATTGAATATTATTAATCAATTAATAAAGAAGGAAACTATTATTAAGTTGTTTATGACCAAATAATTTTAAGATTTCAACAGATAGTTTTTAGGGTTTTGGACATATAAAGAAATACCAAGATGAATGTCTACAGAAAATATATTTTATCAATTAAAAGAGGGACTTAAAATGCCTGTAAAGGACAAGGGTTCAATTTTATATTTAATTTTTAGTTTAAGATATTTTTCCAGATAAGTAATCAATTCATGTAATCAATACTAATAATGATCCTTGTTTTCTATATTCAGAATTTATCAAACAGGGTAGTAAAGAAAGGCCATATACAATTTGTGCACTTCAAAGCAAGAAATAACATGGCTTTTTAATATAACATTTCTGTAATTCTCCAAGCAAAGAAATTCAGTGTTGAAAGGCAGTAATACTGTACCTTGATTTCTTCTATTTCATCTGGCACTATCTTGTATGCTGATATAGTCCCACCCAACCTGAAATCAGGAAAAGAAAAATGTTCTCTGAAATCAGAAGAAAGGTATTCTCAAAAACAGTAACACAAAGCACAGCATGTTAATGGTGTCATGAATTGTTCCAAAACACAAATATGCCTCTTACCAATTGAAAGGTAAAATGCATTAAACCCCAAAACAACAGGAAAAAAAAACCCTCTTTCTTTATCCAAAGAAAAATCTTAATGTGATTAACACAAACATTAGGAACAAGGCTTCCTTTACTAGCCTGAAAGATAAGAATTAGGTCAACCAAGCAGAATTACCATCATCATGATGTCATCCTTTACATTAACGGCATCAGTCATCATATTCTACGATTTCTTGTTTGTTGTGTAAGTCATATGGATGAGTTTAAACACGTGAAGCCTGATGTGCTTTGTGTTCAGTATTTCGCTAAGCTGCTATACAGTCTTAAATACATTCAAATACAATTCTAGAAGTGGAATTTTTTTAATCAGACATGCATAGACCTCACAAAGCACACAGACTCTATGGCTTCCATATTTGAAAAGTCTCTGGAGTTCACAACTGGTACTAAAAAGTGGGTTGCATGCAATAGTTGGCACTGATGTAGAAAAATAGGTGGTTTTGTTCCACATTGAACTTACTGAACTTACTTGTCTACATCCTGCAAAAGTTTATGGTAAAGAATAGTTCACATACTGAATATGCATGAATAACACATACTATAAATGGTGGTAAGTATTACATTTTCCCCAGAGGCATGCAGACATGGCTTCTTTTATTTCATGAAACAGTATCATTGCTAGTGACAATTCCAACCTAAAAATATAACTGCACTAACGACCTCCCTGCTGGCTCTGCACAGCAACACTAGTCATTTTCTGGGTTCTACAGAAATGGAAAACACATAAGAAACTTTTTATTGTAAAGCAGTAAACAGCTATCAAATGTGTATTTATATTATCTCCCTATTGTTGGATGTTTTCCTTCTGATTGTCAGCATTTCTGTACAGATGTATTTCCTTATATTCAATCTTGAAATTATTACACATATTGTTTACTCAACCTAAAAAGGGAGAAGAGAATAACACAGAAAATACATTAAGATTTTCCCCATAAATTCTGCCTTTCTGTATCTCTGCAAGTCACTCAGAGAAATTAATGATTTGAAGGCTTCAGACAGAACATGAAATCTGCGTAAGTAATATGTCTGCAGAAGTAATATCAACTATGATGTCCGAGGTAGAAACAGGGTCCAGACATTGCAGCATTAGAACTCACCGTTTCCTCTGCAACCTGGAAGAGCTCAAGGTCAGGCTGGATGAGGCTTTGAGCAAGCTTGTGGAAGGTGTCCCTGCCCATGGCAGGAGAGTTGGAACTAGCTGATCTTTAAGGTCCCTTCCAACCCATACCATTGTATGATTCTATGACTTCCACTGCTGCTAATCATCACTAGAGTTCAAAGTTGGAGAGAAATGAAACTTGTTTTTGCCAATGAAAGTACAAACACGAGCTTTTATTCTTCACTATTTCTGACCTTTGTTCAAATGGTGTTTCAAGGGATAGCTGTAAGAAATTGGTGTTAACATCATGACAAAGGTTTGTTTCATCATACCATGACCAGGAATGGCTCAGATCGGTGCTTGTTACTGCTGTACATGACCAGTCCTATTGCTACTGGAATGAGGTCCATCAGAAAATAGTTTTTATTTAGTTCTTTCAGATCTATTCCTGGATGCACTCGGGAGTACCCAAAAAATAACTTCATTGACTTTCTATCCTCTAGCAAAGAGGAGAGCACTCCACCAGCAGAGAATTCCACCTGGTAGATTTCTTTATTGGCAACCCCTGGCACAACTATTAAGCACTTCCTTTGAATACATCAGAAAAAAAAATTACAAAATCAAAATTATTGACTAGGTAAACTCATCTGGCTTGCTTAAACCATTAATTAGCATCATTTTCTGCAAATATTTCTGCAAAGTTTTGTGTCATGAGTTTAACATACTCTGCCATTACTGAAACTTGGTGGGATGAATCCCATGACTAGAGTGCGGCTACTGATGGCTACAGGCTGTTCAGAAGGAAGGGCAGAGGCGTTCCCCTTTACATCAAGAAATGGACAGAGTGTGAAGAACTGCCTCTGAAGAATAGCCACGAGCAAGTCAAAACCTTATGGGTAAGAATCAGAGACTGCAGCAAGAAAGGGAACCTCATGGTTGGTGTCTACTACAGGCTGCCCGATCAAGGGGAGTCTACTGATGAAGCCGTCTTACTCCAGCTACAGGAGGCATCATGCTCGCAGGCTCTTGTCCTGATGGGGGAATTCAACAATGCTGATATCTGCTGGAAAAGTAGCACAGCGAGCTGTAGGCAATCCAGGAGACTCCAAGAGTGCCTGGAGGATAACTTCCTGTGCCAGGTAATAAACAGTCCTACCAGAGGGGATGCCATACTGCACCTGTTGGTCACCAATGCATGTGAGCTAATTGGTGACATCAAGATTGGAGGCAGCCTGGGCTGCAGTCATCATGCACTGGTGGAGTTTGCAGGCCTGAGGGATATGGGGCAGGCAAAGAGTAAAGTCAGGACCCTGAATTTTAGGAAAGCAGAATTCCAGCTCTTCAGGGAGTTAGTCAATAGGATCCCCTGGGAAACTGCCCTCAGGGACAAGGGAGCAGAACAGAGCTGGCAGATCTTTAAGGACACTTTCCACAGAGCGCAAGAGCTCTCGATCCCCAGGTGTAGGAAATCAGGAACTGAAGGCAAGAGGCAAGCATGGTTGAGTGGAGACCTGCTGGTCAAACTACAAGGGCAAGAAGGAAATGCACAGGCGGTGGAAGCAGGGACAGGGATCCTGGGAAGAGTACAGTGACGCTGCCCGGTTGTGCAGGGATGAGGTCAGGAAGGCCAAGGCGTGGCTGGAGCTGAACTTGGCAAGGGATGCAAAGAATAATAAGAAGGGCTTCTACAGGTATGTCAGCCAGAAAAGGAAGGTCAAAGAAAGCATACACGCCTGATGAGCAAGACTGGGAAACTGGTAAAAACCGACAAGGAGAAGACTAAGGTACTCAACAACTTCTTTGCCTCAGTCTCCACTGTCAGTGTCTCTTCCCACACCTCTTGAGGGGATGGACTGCAAGATGGGGACTGGAGGAGCAAAGTCCCTCCCACTGTAAGAGAAGATCAGGTTCAAGGCCACCTGAGGAACCTGACCATGCACAAGCCTATGGGACCTGACAAGATAGAATCCTGAGGGCACTGGCTGATGTAGTTGCCAAGTCACTCTCCATCATATTTGAAATGTCATGGCAGTCAGGTGAAATCCCTGGAGACTGGAAAAAGGGAAACATTGCACCCATTTTTAAAAAAGGTAGCAAGGAGGGCCCTGGGAACTACTGATCTGTCAGCCTCATCTCTGTGCCTGGGAAGATCTTAGAACAGCTCCACCTATAAGTTATGGCTAAGGCACATAGAGGACAGAGAGGTGATTGGAGACAGCCAGCATGGCTTCACCAAGGGCAAGTCCTGCCTGACCAACCTAGTGGCTTTCTGTGATGGAGTGACCACATCAGTGGACAAGGGAAGGGCTACTGATGTCATCTGTCTGGACTTTTGTAAGGCCTTTGGCACGGTCCCCCACAGCATTCTTCTCTCTAAATTGGAGAGATGTGGATTTGATGGGTGAATAGGGAGTTGATTGCATGGTCGCTTCCAGAGGGTAGCAATCAATGGCTCAATGTCCAGATCGGTGACAAGTGGTGTCCCTCAGGGGTCCACATTGGAACCAGTACTCCTTAATATCTTTGTCAATGACATAGTGGGATCAAGTGCACCCTCAGAAAATTTGCAGATAACACCAAGCAGTGTTGACACCCTGCCTGAGGGACGGAATGCCATGCAGAGGTACCTGGACAAGATCGAGAAATGGGCCCATGTGAAACTCATGAGGTTCAACAAGGCCAAGTGCAAGGTCCTGCGCCTGGGTTGGGGCAAGCACCGGTATCAGTACAGGCCGGGGGATGAAGGGATTGAAAGCAGCCCTGCCAAAAAGGGCTGGAGGGACTGGTGGATGAAAAGCTGGACATGAGCCGGCAATATGCGCTCAGAGCCCAGAAGGCCACCCGTGTCCTGGGCTGTATCAAAAGAAGCATGGCCAGCAGGGCGAGGGAGGCGATTCTGCCCCTCTGCTCTGGTGAGACCCCACCCATAGTACTGCATCCAGCCCTGGGGCCCTCAGCACAGGAAGGACATGGCCCTGTTGGAGCGGGTCCAGAGGAGGCCACCAAAATGATCATAGTGATGGAACACCGCTCCTATGAAGAAAGGCTGAGAGAGTTGGGGTTGTTCAGCCTGGAGAAGAGAAGGCTCCGGGGAGACCTTATTGCAGCCTTCCAGTACTTAAAGGGGACCTACAGGAAAGATGGGGCCAGATTTTTTAGCAGGGCCTGTAGCAACAGGACAAGGGGTAATGTTTTTAAATTAAAAGAGGATAGATTTTGACTAGATAGAAGGAAGAAATTTTTAACCATGAGAGTGTGAAACACGGGCACAGGTTGCCCAGAGAGGTGGCAGATGCCCCATCCCTGGAAACATTCAAGGTCAGGTTGGTTGGGGCTCTGAGCAACCTGATCTAGTTGAAGATGTCCCTGCTAATTGCAGGGGGGTAGGACTAGATGACCTTTAAAGGTCCCTTCCCACCCAAACTGTTCACTGATTCTGTGAATCTGCCAAGTTGCAGTCCAAATGGTAGCACATTTCAAAGTGGTTATGCATTCCTGAATCGGACATTTTCCTTGACAAAATTGCATATGCAATGTCACTGAAAATGTCAGTTACCACAATTCCACATTTTTGAAAGAGGAACACATATTAGCTGTTAGGTTACTGATTAAATAAACAATCTCTCACCTATAGCTCCAGCTCATCATATCTGTCTTAATACGTTTTCAATGCTACGTTGACATTTTAGCTTGAAAATCCAGACTTCATGAATAAATAATAACGAATTTGAA